TTAATACATATTAAACCGACATCACCTGTGAAGAGATCAGCGTTTGAACAGCAGGGCACAGGTTTTCCAGAGCAGCCAGAATCATCATCATCTTTAGTGCGTGAATCGAGAGAGATCAGTGAAGTGATGCCAGCTTCTACTGAGGGGAATGGAAAAAAGAATGAACTCGTGAGTGAAAATGAAGAAAGAGTAGTGACGAATAAGACAATTGAGAAAGCTCGACCAACAAGACAGAAACGGTTTCCAAGTAAATGAGAGCCAAAATGACGGCAAACCGCGGTACTTTGTAAATAGGGTTCGGAATAGCGATCGAAAATTGAATACCGGTATTTCGGTATATTTTCAATGTGATACCGGTATAAAAAATATGAAGAAGCTAAAAATGGAGAGGTAAAATAGTGAATTAAACGAAATTTGATAATAAATTTGTTGGATAAACGTAAAATAAATAAATAATTATTCATATAATATATTAAATCAATAAGTCGTAGTGCAAATGCTTAATAGGAGTACAAAATACTTATTTGTAATACGACTTATTAAAATGTGCTCTTGAAATACACAGGTTTTCTAATGTATTATAATTAAGTTTACAACTTAATGATAATACATTACTCGTTTTCAAAGCAGCTAATTTCCTTTTTTACCAATGCTTCCAAAGTGAGAATCTGGCCTCTTGTATGATTTATCTATATGCTAAGCTGCTTCGTTTCATAGGTATTGCATTTTAAAGTTGAATGAAAAAAACTTTTGTTTGAAAAAGACGAAGTTTTTTTGGAAATTAGTGGAGCAGATGATAATTTTTCTTTAATAGCCATATTTAATTTGTTTGCTAATGTTAATGACTCTTATTCACGTGATGTACTAGCTAAATATTTTTGTTCATGTGTAGTAGGTTTTCTTTATTTTCGTCCGTTAGTCTATTTAATAAATTTAGAATTTTTTGTGTTATATTCGTTTTGCTTAATAATGAAAAAAAGTTATTTTGTGTATTGTTATGTAGGTATTGTAATACTTGAGACTAACTTGAGTGACGTTCTAATAGCCTCTGCAATAAAGTATTATGTAAGTTAATTGCAATTGGGAATTTGATTCTTTAAGAGATTCCATCATAAATGTTACAGCTACAATTGCCGTTAAGAGATTTGCATCTCTTCGACATAGAGCCGCCACTGCTAATTTGACAGGTGTTATTGCATCATTAATTACGGAAAATATACATTTATAAAAATAAGAAAATACCGAAAAGTACCGATATTGTGGAAAAAATACCGGTATTAAAATTGGGCCAAAATCGGCCGGGATCCCGGTATCGGTATTACCGGTATTCCGAACTCTATTTGTAAATCTAGGGACTTTAGGATGTCATAAAGTCCCTAGATTTACAAAGTACCGCGGTTTGTCGCCATTTTGGCTCGAAAGTCAAGCGGGAAATTTAAAACTATATCGTTCTATTGATAACATTACGCCAAAATTCCTTTCAGTGTTCTCGTGGTATTCTGAAGAGTCGAAAGCCCTTCTTACTGCTATTTTTGCTACTCCAAAGACAGCAAGATGGCAATATTTTTGTAAATAAGTGGTGAGATGCGGTGACAAGTTGTCAAACCGCCATTTTGGCTCGAAAACAGGTGTCACGAACCGCGGTACTTTGTAAATCTAGAGACTTTAGGATCAAGGTTTGTATATAAGAGGTTGTCTAGACTCGTACGCAACCATACTACGCATTACGTCACATGTGGAAAATAATACCGCCAAGCAATTCAAATTAAACAAATGCACATGGCCATGAGCTTGCGTGCGCAATCCGTGATCGCTTACGTCACGAAACACTTCTGCTCTTGCCCATCGCCCACAAACTAAATCAAAGTATTGCAGCATAGGTACTTAGACAGCCTTTAATATATAAACCTTGCTTTAGGATGTCATCTATGGTTACGCCATCTAGTAGTAAGAGACAGAAGAATGATAACTGTCATTAGTTAAGGTTATGTTAACAATAGAGAATAGAGTTCAGACATAGTTATAACAAGTTTTATAAATTCCTTTTTAATAAACGATTTTAAAGTAAAGTTCTATTAGTTGCTTAGTGTTATATCCATAAACTTATAATGGACAAACGTTACAGATGACGCCACTATTTAATAATGGCACCAACTTTAATCTATCATATCTATCCATAATTATTTATTAAATCTTGTTGTTACTAATAAGTTTTATTAAAAAAGAATAATTCGTTTTGTGTTAAACCCACCTGAAATTCTTGTAGTTTGCGGTTTACTATCCATGCGTAACTTAGAAGTACCACTTTTCGATCTATCCTTACTCCTACTTCTTCTTCGAGATGACATCCTATACAAGATTAAGACGAATTAAATTTAAAAAAAATGCCAAAACCTGACTATAATTTCATAAAATCTTAAACATACCTAAAATCGTTGGATTGAACTCCTTGATAATCTCCTTTTATCAGGGTAAGAACTCTTCTTAATTGGTGGGGTTGCTTGAATTTTCAAGGTGGTCTCAGGCGGAGCAAAACACGTGCACGACTTGAAGGTGACAAAGTTTTCGCGACGCTAGAATCACGACACGTCCAATCAAGAGTCCGTTCAATGTACATTGTTTTCGATATTAACCCCTTAATCCAATTTATTAAACACGTACTATACTTTTTCCAAACGCAATTCATTCAACACAATCATCCAAAAAATCAAAAAAGCCCTCATTCACATCAGCGTATTTATATTTATAAAAACTTCATATTTAGTTATTTTGACGTTTGACATTGACATATGTCAAATGACATTTTGAATTGGTAAAATAGAGGATTTAGAAGTTTTTATAAAATAATAACTATTAAATTCGAAATAATAGAAAATTTTGAATACATAAAGGAATAAATAGGTTGATGGATGCTTAAATCTCATAGAATACATAACCTTAACAAGTAACACATTGTTTATCGAGTAAACTAAAGTTGGTTCTTCAATGGAGTGTCCATGCAAAAAAACGAAATTAAAGTCTTTTTTTGTGTCTTATCGTGAAATAATCGTAAAAATGTAGGTAGAAAATCGCGATTCCAAGGTCCTTTGTTCTAAAAGGGGCTTAACCGCACAAGCCTCCGATACGCGGCGCTGCCATCGCGCGGTATCGCGATTTTTACCGAAAATCACGATATTTTCCCAATTTTCCGATTGGAAAACGCGCGTTGTTCGTTGCCGTTTAAATATCGCGCGCGCACGGACGCTTTTTTCGATTGACCCAAAGGAGGGGTCAATAAACGGGCCTCGGATCGATACTCGACGCGGGCATACCGAGATTCGGAGCGATCTAAAATCTAAACATACACTTACTTTAGGTGAACGAAAATATTACATTCGTTTTCCGGACACGGCGGGCTTTGCTTCCAACGCGAAATCCGTTGTCTTCCCCTCGGTTTTTCCGACGATTTTCCGTTTAATTATCGGGGAAACCGTTCGCCAGCCTTCGATACACCTTTCACATGACGTTACCAACTGTCATTTTTTTTAGAACAAAAATTCCACTATTTTTTTTCATATTTTAAAGATAAAAATAAAAAAAATTAATTAATTCAAATCGAATTTCCATTATTTTAATTTATTTTGTGAAATAAATTATATTTAAGAAGGATTTAGAAACCGTTTTATGTAATTAAGTAATTAACAATTTGACATATAAACATAAACATAACCTCGCTATTACGTTTCATTTCAAAAATGGGCCCTGTTAAATTTCGTGCTGAATTAACCGATTTTAAAATGATTTACAACGTTTTAAAAGCAACGACATTCAAAGAGGTATTATTAATAATTCTTTTATAATAATAATAAATTAATTCAATTTTTAGTTTGCTCTCATTCACCCGTTAGAAGAAGGATTAAAAGTAACTATTGAAGAAATGAAATGCATTGAAACCTCAATTTACTTCCCATCAAATCTTTTTTGCACCTATTATATAGATCCTGGTGATGACATCAAATTTAAACTTAACATAAAAGTTTTAACTGAATGTCTTCATGTGTTTGGAGATGATTCCTCACCAAGTTTAAAATTATCTTATAAAGGTTATGGATCACCTTTATGTTTAGTAATAAAACACAGTGAGGAAAATATTTTGGTTGATTGTGAAATTCAAACTATGGATCCGGAAGACTTTTCTGATTTAAGTTTGGCTGAAGAATGTTCAGAAAATAAAATTACTATGGATGCTCAATCTTTAGTGGAAGTTGTAAGCGAAATGGATCAAAATTCAGATGAATTACAGATACTTTTAAGTCCGGATGTGCCTCATTTTAGAATGTCAGCTACCAGTGTTGGTGGTAAAACCGTACTTGATATTTGTGAATACTCAGACATAGTCACTAAATTCGAATGTAAAAAAACAAGACAATTTTCTTATGCTTTCGGTTATATTAGAAATATTTTAAAGGTTATGAATTTAGCCAGTAAGGTGTCTATTTCAACAAGTGAAACGGGCCTTTTAGGATTACAATTAATTATTAATGTTAATAAAAAACAAATTTTTGTGGAATATTATGTAATGGCTTTAAATATTTAATTAAAAATTAATACAAATTTATAAGCGCCATCTTTTAGTACCTCCAAAAACTTAATGTTTCATTAAACCCTCCACAGATGGTGCCATCTAATTAAATCAATTTTGAATTTGATAAAATCATTTTGGACGGTTCAATTTCCTCCAGGAAGTTTTTTTAACAGAAAAGATGTCATCCGATTCCGTTTTTATACGGACATTCCTTCCGGGCGTTCAATTTTAACGGTCTCAGATAATTTTTAACGCTAAATGTTTCACGGAAGTTATTCAAATAAGCGCGATGACGCTTTCGCCCGGGGAAAGAGAAGATCGGTTTATTTTTTTTGTAGAGACTTTTTTTTCTTTACGTTAAGAATTAAAAAGAAAGTCGTCGAAAAAGCGTCCGTCGTACAGATGACGGTTCAAAAGAATGGTAAAACCGCTTTATATGCAACAACAACGAACGCAAGGCGTGTTATATGTAGATAACTATACAATTTCTTTTCGGTTAAGTAAAAACGATTCTTTTCCACTTCCGCAAATCGCGTATTATTATGTTAAAAGTCGTTGCGACAATGGATAATGTGTATTTTTAAGTGGATTTTTTTTCTTGCGTTTTTTTTTTTTTTGAACGAGGGGTGATTGAAAGTTTTTTTATTCTTGCTCTAGTGGCTAAGGCTATTTTGATCGAATTGTCACAATAGCCATTCGTCAACGGTGCATAACTTAAAAGTGCATTTCAATAATTCGAGTTCAGATTTTGGTAGATTTCTGACAGATGGTCATTATGTGGGCACGAAGTTGGAATTTAAGGAAAAAAAGTCGATCTTTATCGTATTATAATACGATTTTTTCGGACAATTGAAAATACGTTACGGTTTTTTTTGACGATTGAAAGGTTTTTTAAAGAATTGTGTATGGAAATTGTTAAGATTTCAATCAAATTTAACGGTGGCTTTTGGAAGGATATCGACTCATGCAACGAAAACTGTTGTAACTCATTTTTAACAGAAAAACGCTGTTAAAGTTTTTTACAAAATCTGGTGATTTAGAAAATATTGTATATTAATTTTTATGTAAATACAAATTTGTATGCGAGTCATATATCAGAAGATGAAGCAAATTATTATTTTTTAATTATTTTCTTGACTTTGTCGGAAGTAGTTATAGAAAAATAAAAGATACTATTATTTTGGCTAAATAATATATATAAATAATTTATAATATATCCTGTATTCGACTGCGTCGCTTTTTATTGTGACATTCTGAAAAAGACTGATGGAAGTTTTGCCAAGGATCTAAAAGAATCATTGCACTTACTAACAGATGTTCACTTTCCAGGTTCTTTGCAAGATTCTTTAAAGTTTCTGTACCAAGTGGAATTTAACAACTCTCTTACCAGACATGACTGGCAGATAGCCAACCAGGTTGTATAGAACGAGTTGGTAGAGTGGGCCGTTGGCAGTTTTGAGTCCTTCAAACTACCCGGACCCGACGCTATATATCCTGCTCTTCTTCAATGGAGCCTAGAAGATATGAAAATACACTTGATGAGAATTTTTATAGCTTGCTTAGCCTTTAATAATGTTCCTTTATACCAAAGAATGGAAAAAAGAACCAACGGATCCTAAAGCCTTTCGACCAATTAGTCTCTCATCATTTCTTTTAAAGACACTTAAAAGACTCTGTGACCATTACATTAGAGAAAAGAAAGCATTTTCTTTGCACTTGCACCAACATGCTTATATCAAAGGTAAATCTGTGGACGCATCGAACAAGCACTTGATTTGAAAGAGTATGTGTTGGGAAGTTTCCTTGTCATAGAGGGAGCGTTTGACAAAACCACCTTTAGTAGCATTAGTCTGGCACTAGAATCTCGAAGAGTGCCATTGGTCATCGCACGCTGGATAAAAAAAATGCTGGCAAGCAGAGTTGTTCAGGCTAAAGCGAAAGGTCACACAGTACAGAGCGCTACTCTCACCGCTTGGTGCCTAACAGTTGATGATCTCATTCGTGAGTTAAATAATAAGATAAGCAGGTTGTTAAAATAGGAATAGTCCGGAGCGAGCTCTAGAGCGAGGTTGTTCGTAAAGTACCCCTCCTTAAAGCTCGCACAGACTACATCACACCTACTTTCTTCAAGCCACACTTTGGCATTGAAACGATACCCCAGAGTAACCTAAGCTCGGGCAAAATGGTGACCATCCGCACTGATGGATCAAAGAAGGCTGGAGGCTCCGGGAATTTTCTCGCACGATCTCCAGCTGCACCTTTCTATTTCGCTAAGGTCGTATTGCACGACTGCTCAAGCCGAAATAAATGCTATAAACATAGCAGCCAATGTGATCATTGACTCTAAAAAAGTCAACGGAAACGTTGTAATCTGCACTGATTGGTTGGTGAAGTCCTGTCGGAAATCACTCGAGGAGGCAAACTTATACAATGTCACGATAATGTGAAAATAAAATACAAGAGACAACCAGACCTGCAAACTAAGGAGGAGAATAATTCTCCCATGAGCAGTATATGGTAAACTTAGAAATGTGTTTAAGAGGAACCTACTAATATGTCTAAAAGGAAGTGTTCGGTCAGTGCGTGCTGCCGGTCATGACCTATGGGGCAGAAACACTGGCTTTGACCATAACATCTGCCAACACAGCGTAAAATGGAAAGATTAATGCTCGGAATATCGCAAAGGGATCATGTTAAAAATGAAGATTTGCGCCGAAGAACAGGGCTCAAATGGAACTGAGCTGGACACGTAGCCAGAAGGATACATGAAAGGTGGACGAAAAGGCTGTTGGAATAGATTTTTTCCATTAGTAATTTGTAAAATTACGTATTTTTCTAGTTTTCATATTTTTGAATTTTTCTTGACATTGATGCAGCTGAGAGCAAAAGTGTTAGAGAGCAATGTGTTAAGGGTAAAATTTGCTACAACTTTTGTTCTAAAAGTTTTTCTGTATCATACTCAGAATACCTTTTTTTTGCATTAGCAACTTGTGAAACTACGAATTCTTCTAATTTTCATATTTTCGAATATTTCTCTACATTGATGCATCTGAGAGCAAAAGTATTAGGGAGCAATGTGTTAAGAGTTAAGAGTAACATTTGCTACAACTTTTGTTCTAAAAGTTTTTTTGTATCATGCTCGGAATGCCGCTTTTTTCCATTATCCACTTGCGAAACTATGATCTCTTCTAATTTTCATATTTTCGAATTTTTCTCGACATCGATTCAGCTGAGAACAAAAGGGTTAAAGAGCAATGTATTAAGGGTAAAATTTGCTACAACTTTTGTTCTAAAAGTTTTTTTGTATCATACTCAGAATACCTTTTCTTTCCATTAGCAACTTGTGAATCTACGAATTCCTCTAATTTTCATATTTTCGAATATTTCTCTACATTGATGCATCTGAGAGCAAAAGTATTAGAGAGCAATATGTTAAGGGTAAAATTTGTTACAACTTTTGTTCTAAAAGTATTTTTGTATCATGCTCGGAATACCGTTTTTTTTCCATTTCCGACTTGTGAAACTAGGAATTCTTCTAATTTTCATATTTTCGAATATTTTTCTACATTGATGCATCTGAGAGCAAAAGTATTAGAGAGCAATGTGTTCAGGGTAAAATTTGCTACAACTTTTGTTCTAGAAGTGTTTCTGTATCATGCCCGGAATGCCGCTTTTTTCCATTATGCACTTGTGAAACTACGAATTCTTCTAATTTTCATATTTTCGGATATTTCTCTACATTGATGCATCTGATAGCAAAAGTGTTAGAGAGCAATGTGTTAAGGGTAAAATTTGCAACAACTTTTGTTCTAAAAATTTTTCTGTATTATGCTCGGACTACCGTTTTTTTTCCATCAACGACTTGTGAAACTACGAATTCTTCTAATTTTCATATTTTCGGATATTTCTCTACATTGATGCATCTGAAAGCAAAAGTGTTAGAGAGCAATGTGTTAAGGGTAAAATTTGCTACAACTTTTGTTCTAAAAGTTTTTCTGTATAATGCTCGGACTACCGTTTTTTTCCATTAACGACTTGTGAAACTACGAATTCTTCTAATTTTCATATTTTCGAATATTTCTCTACATTGATGCATCTGAGAGCAAAAGTGTTAGAGAGCAATGTGTTAAATGTAAAATTTGCCACAACTTTTGTTCTAAAAGTTTTTCTGTATCATGCTCGAAATACCGTTTTTTTTTCCATTAACGACTTGTGAAACTACAAATTCTTCTAATTTTCATATTTTCAAATTTTTCTCAACATTGATGCAGCTGAGAGGAAAAGGGTTACAGAGCAATGTGTGAAGGGTAAAATTTGCTACAACTTTTGTTCTAAAAGTTTTTTTGTATCATGCTCGGACTACCGTTTTTTTCCATTATCCACTTGCGAAACTACGAATACTTCTAATTTTCATATTTTCCAATATTTTTCTACATTGATGCATCTGAGAGCAAAAGTATTAGAGAGCAATGTGTTAAGGGTAAAATTTGCTACAACTTTTGATCTAAAGGTTTTTCTGTATCATGTGCGATATACCATTTTTTTCCTTTAACGACTTGTGAAACTACGAATTCTTCTAATTTTCATATTTTGAATTTTCATATTTCTGTACAATGATGCATCGGAGAGCAAAAGGAGCATCGGAGAGCACTGCGTTAAGGGTAAAATTTGCTACAACTTTTGTTCTAAAAGTTTTTCTATATCATGCTCCGAATACCGTTTTTTCCATTAGTAACATGTGAAATTACAAATTCTGCCAGTGTTCATATTTTCGAATATTTTTCTACATTGATACACCTGAGAGCAAAAGTGTTACAGAATAATGTGTAAAGGGACAATCCACTCGATGGACGGATGACATCAGGAGATTTACTAATAACTAGATTCAGGCAGTACAGGACACGAAGAGATGGGTGGAAATAGGGGAGGCCNTCTGCCAATGTTCATATTTTCGAATATTTCTCTACATTGATACACCTTAGAGCAAAAGTGTTACAGAATAATGTGTAAAGGAAAAATCCACTCGATGGACGGATGACATCAGGAGATTTACTAATAACTAGATTCAGGCAGTACAGGACACGAAGAGATGGGTGGAAATAGGGGAGGCCTATGTCCAGCAGTGGACTCAGAGGGCTGAGTGATGATGATTGAACCATTGTTGGTCGTGAAACCTTCGTGATCCCTTAAATCAGACTCAAATCCCAATCAAATGCTAAAATTAAATCGACTATAAACACATAAATTTATAAAGTAGTAACAAAGTTATTATTATTATTTTACAAAAATTTCCATTAATATCTAGTGTTTTTAGTCATGTCTTAAAAATGACAGCAGTGGCCCTCGAGCTCATGGAAATGTGATGTTCAGCAATATATCTTCTAAACTTGTTATACGCTTTAGGTGTATAATATGTAAAACATTTTTAATCGCTTTATATGCTCTTATTGGCTGCACGTGCATAAGAGTTCTAGAGCGAGTTTCATGACCATGGTCTACAACTCGCTGGATTTCCGGGTGTTGTAACGCATATTTTATAAATAATTGATGAGTAGGGAATCTTATACCCATATAAGTAAAGTTTTTAAAATCAACCTTTGCATTGTGCGTAACTTTTCTAAGTAGATATCTGAGCTGCTAATGCTGTATCTCAAATTTGACTCAACCATAGCAAAATAGTATGTCCTCATAAAAGGGATCGTCACAAGCGGTGACAGTCTTTTGATCAAGAACATTATTGATTTCAGTTTTTTGCACATATTACCAATATGCTTATCCCTCCTGAAATACTGATCCACCGCAATGCCGAGATATTTCACGGAACTAACTTTTATAATATTTGCACAATCAGTCGTTGAGTATCAGAAGGTCAGGGACTGTAAATTGTGAATCAGAGTGTATGGTGAAAGTGATAAAACTAGTTTTCTCAAAGTTGAGGAAAGGTTTATTGGAGTCAAGCCAATTTAACAAGACTCTCACATCCTCTCTGGCTAAAGATAAAAGATTTGACCATGTTGGGCTTTTAAAGGTCGGCGTAAGAGATGATTTTACAATTTAATCCTACTTCCAAAAGATCATTGATATAAATTAGGAACAACAGTGAGCCGACAACTGTACCTTGGGTTACTCCACAGGATAGTTGAAGTAAATTGAAAAAGTTGATGTGGAAGAGCTCTTATGCCATAATGTTCAAGCTTAGCCGACAATTGCTTATGATCTATTGTGTCAAACGCTTTACGCAAATCTCAAAATATTGTAAAAATTTAAACTAGGTATATAGAAAAACTTCTTACTTGCTTAGTATCAACTTATTCGGAACTGGTTTCGAGTTTAGCTCATCATCGGCCGAATCTACGTAAAAAATTACATTATGAACAAATAAACTTAATGAAAAGTATAATAAAAATATTACATTCGTAAACTTACTGTCAAAACCAAATTGAGAATTAAATAAGTTCTTAAAACGCGCTAAAAACTGTTATAACGACGATAAAGAATTTTCTCAAATACTTTTGCAAAAGTTGTTATTAAAGCTAGTTTCCAATATCTTTCTGTGAGCCCTTTTTGCGAATAAGTATTATAATGGTTTTTGAAGATTTGATTTTTTTTAATCAAAATTATTAGAATACATTAGGTAAATTACTGTGTAAAAAAAGTAAACGTAATCAAAAGTATAATTTATGCTTAACTGCCGCCCTTCCCGACGAAGCAATTTTTCATTGTTTCCTTCCCGGGGATGGTTCGTTCCACTCTTTGAGGGCGGGGGAAATCCCCCAGGACCCACCTTATAAATCTTGCTCAGCCGGCTCGCTAATTAAAAATGCTAAATTGCGCGTATAAGACGCTCTTTCTTTCCTCGGATTTTTTCCCTTTACTCCCAACCCACCATTCCCCCCTTTTCTTTATTTTTACCTCGGGGGGTGGTTAAAATTTAAATTTACAACGACAATCTTTCATATTCTTCTATAATTTTTGTTAATAACCATAAAATTACTAAAATCTTAATAATTATGTATTTTTTTTTAACATTTAATCTTAAATATCCACTTGACTTTCAAACCGACCGAATTAATTCCATCTCTGAGCCAAACCCAATTCTGCGCCCTTCATTTATAAATGTAAATTACCCTATTACAACGGCATTGTTCATGCACTCGGCCCTCCACATAAAAAACACTGTGGGGCTACGTCCTAGTTTGATTAAAAATTTTTTTATCAAACGTTCGCGCTCAACGATATAAAACGTTCCTGGATCGACTTTGCGTGATGGATTCCCCGTTTAATTACCCTCAATCGATACGGTTTTAAGACGTTTTCGAGACGTACCACGATGTTACAAGTCAACGAGACGATTAAGTTTTGAAATCGTCGTTTGAAACGCGATCGTTTATTTGGAAATGATGGATATAAAAAAATAAGAAGGATTCGATGTTGAGTATAACGGGGGTGGTTTTTTAGACGTGGATTGTCGGCGTAGTATAGCTCGATGGTTTGTGGGGGGTGAATAAGGCTCCGCGACGAGAAGTTCACCCCACGGGCGAACGAACGGTTCACCCCACGGAAGAGTTATATCGATCTTGTGTCTTACCCAGGCCCAGGGATAGGGTTACCCCGCGCGTTTTTTTCCTTCCCTACTTTATATTAAAGAAGAATCGATACGGATTTTTTATTCCACAATTCGTTCTGATGGGGGTGACTAAGATGTTGTCAACCTACACTGAAAAAAAAAAGTAAAATAAATTTTATCAAAAATTAACCACCAAAATGACGTATGAAACGTCAAATTTTTAATTAATTTGACTGCAAGGGTCAAATTAGAATATGATTTAATCGAACGGATTAAGATTTAATTTCGAATTTTATTTTAAAAATTTATGTTAAATTTTAAAAAATGTCTAATGATTTATAAAAAGATCGTTAAAAGAAAGAATTAATAAAATTATGGTTAAGAAATTTTTAATTAACATAATCGTTTTTTGAATGCTAATTTGACTTTGTAGTACGATGAAATTGGAAAAGTCAAATTCGCGTTTAATTAGAGTTAATAAAAATTGGATTAAAACTGATATGAAATTGGAAAAGTAATGAAAATTGATGAATTAACAAGAAAATTAGTAATAAGATACTTATATGTTACAAAAAGTTGCGATTCCAATAAAAAAACTTAAGGTAAGAAATGAACCTAACCTAACTTTTTTTATCATATTTTCATTAATGTAATTATTTAAGTTATTACTATTAATTTTAATTAATTTTTTAGTGTTAAGATGTTAAAGACGCCTCTAAATTTACAAGAAAACTTTAAGATTAGAAAAAATCTAAGGTAACATCTAACTTAACCTATCTATCTAATAACTTTTGATGTACTTAATACAGAGAGATAGAAAAGTCGCGCACATCAAAATAAATTTTGTTTAAATAAATGTTTACTTTGTTTACTTGTAAACTTTCGGTGAATTATTCCGCGTGAGACAGAAATTTGTTCTTTCACATCGGTAGTATTGCGATTTTCACTGATTTCCAAAGATGCCATTTTCCCATGAGTAACGACTTTTCATTGCTGAACGATATTTTTCGAATCATTCATATGCCGTCTTGCAGATGAATTTCGTACGAAATATCAAAGATGTTGGAGTACCTATACTCTATTTTTTAATTCGGAATAGTGTTTTCAAATTGAAGCGCCAAAAAAAGGGTTGCTATTGGTCAGTTTTAACCAAAAATTACACTAGGAAAATTCGAGATGTTGTCGGCCACCTAATAACATTCGGGTTTAGCCGCACGTCTCTCATTGTCAGTATGGCTAAACCGAGTACAGGAAGGATTTGTTATTCTTTTATATTATTTTGCAAATTGGCTAGCAATATAATTGGCCACCTATGACAATATCACCACCTATTTTATTTTGAATTCTAAATATAAATTCTTAGAAAAGAAAACAGTGTTTATTCAGGAAGGCTATAATTACAAATTATAATAACAAAAATTAAGAACAGTAAAGACAAATATATCCTGCTATTTTGTCTTTTTTGTTAAACCTAGGCAGTTGTAGCGGAGTTATTCTTCCACGCACATATATTTATATAAAAGTAATGAATATTTTGAAAATATAAATTGTTAAGAAAACAAAATTAGAGTTAAGGAGTTCTTTATGGATAAAAGGTTTTTTTGCAGAATGATGATATTTCTCGTAAACCAATAAAAGCATGTGAAGTAACAAAAAATTTTTCAGGCAAACGAAGAGGCTACCCATAAACTAGTTAAGCGGAACAACATCCCAGATCTTCTTTGAGAGAAGATCTGAGTCCAAGTAAAATCATCGGGAGATCATTGTTCCACCTGTTGTTGCTTCCTCCAGCAACAATGGATATTTTAAGAGATTTATGGAATCTAAAATTCCATTGCTTTGTAGATGGTAGGAAGAAGTGTGAATCTGACAAGATCCAATTAACATATTGAATTGTGCAAAAAGTTGGGATTCGAATTGTCTTCCATGGTAATGAGTAATGGTGTGTGGAACACCGAATCTTGGAATGTAATTGCGGTATATAGCATTAGCTATAGAAGACGCAGTTACATCCTTAACAGGATATGCTTCCGGCCAGCGAGTAAACCTATCTACGATAGTCAGAACATAAGAACCAACAAGTGGACCAACAAGATCAATATGTATATGCTCAAACCTGCCTTTTGGAATAGGGATTTTCAGAATAGGAGATTTGGTGTGCCTAGTAATCTTTGCTTTTTGGCAAGAAAGACAAGTTTTGGTACATACTTTTATATTTTTTGACATATGAGGCCAAAAGAAACGTGTTTGGAGGGAATGAAGAGTGGCGCGAAATCCAGAATGAGAGATGTTATGAAATTTTTTTAAAGCATCGACCAACAGTCGATGCTCTTTCGTTTCTTCGAATTAAGAGTCGTTGATAACGAGTATAAAGGAGTTTCTGGTAGATTAGGAATGAACCTGTGGTAGAAATTTATCATGCCTAAGAACCTTTGTAAACTTTTCAATGAAACAGGTTTCGGAAAATCGGAAATAGGTTTAATTCTTGAATCTGATGGTCGAAGACCTTCAGATGAAACATGGTGACCAAGGAAGTCTAACGAAGGTACATCAAAAATACAATTTTTAGGTTGGATATTTATGCCAAAGGTAGTTAATCTTTCGAAAAGTTTGGATAAGTGTTGTAAATGCTCAACTTCATTAAATTTTTACTAGCGACAAGTATGTCATCTAAATATACATATAAGGGGTAGTGATTGTTGTTTTTATTCGTTGTTCCACAGCAGTCATCATACAAATAAGATTGGCACATTATATATAAGCGCATATCAGAAACTCTATCTTCTTGACATGCTTTGCAAACAATCCTCTGTTTTCTTTGGTTCAGTCTTCTTCTTTAGAATACTTTTTTTCGAAGTTGTGGTCACTGACTAGCTTTTTTGTCTCTGGCTGAAAATTCATTAAAAAGGTCCTTTGTAACAACCAATGCTCTGCTGTTTATTGCCGGTTTTCTAAATTTTTCGTTGAATTTTTGTGCTAATTTTGGTGTATTCAGCATATCAGTAAAAGAAACATCGTGCTCATCAGTTTCATCATTCGATGAAGTATCAGACATCTGGAAGGTTTCATCCTCGGAATCATCACTGCTGCTATTTTTGTGTAAATGTCTGTTTATGGTTTTGTTTGAAGCATTAAGAAATTTATTTCTAAGCGTCAGTTTGGTGGTATTTGATGGAGACGGTGTCTTATCTCTTTGAATAGCTTGGTTTACTGGCTGCCCAGTTACGTTGCTTGGTGCAAATGCCTCAACCGGTAAAATATCTGGATTGAAGGGAATATACCAGTGGCGGAAAATCCAGACTTAATATTGGAAGGAGTCATGGACTTATCCCAAATAATTGAAAAAATGGCTCCAAACCGTTGTTTCGTTAAAGAACGATCTCTATAATTTGACCAGTACTTGAGAACTTCATCATCCCAATAGTGCTCAAAAGAGTGAAAGACTGCCTTGTCCATTGGTTGAAGCTCGTGGGTTGTATTGCTTGGTAAGCAATACAAAATAATACCCAGTTCTTCCGCTACAGTGACCTTTGTGTGGTCTAATTGTAAGTGACATTTAACAACGTCAAAAATTAAAAGACATGGTCCAGGAATTTTGTACTTCGCAAAATGTTGAAGACATAACTTGAAGTTGTTTCATTCGTTTTCCTTTAAATAGCACTAATGGAGAGAGTGCAAAACCTAAAACATTTCCATAAAAAACTATTGTGACATTTTGTCCATATTCATGTGTTTTTCATCCATAATGTATATGTGTTGAGGTTTACCCATAATATCAAGGTTGGTCATAATTTCGCCCAGTTTAGCAAAGTGGTCGTTTACTATAAATCGGTTTATAATAACTCAACAATAACGAGATTAATCGACTTCAAACTGAATGAAGAATATAGAATATAGTAGATTGTTTCGGACGTTCGGCGACAACCATGGAATTGAAGAACTTGATCATGTTTTCTTCACCGACGAGGCATGGTTTCACCTTACGGATACGTGAATAGCCAAAACATAAGAATTTGGGTAATCGACAATCCTCACTTCTTTCATGAAAACCCTTTGCACTCCCAGAAGATTGGAGTGTGGTGTGCTATATTTCGTCGTTGAATAGTAGGCCCTTTATTCTTTGAAACAAAAGTGAACAGTATTGTGTACCTAGACATTATTACACAATTTATTGCTTTGCTTGAAAACGATGAACGTTGGTTGTAGCAGAACTGGGCCACATGTCACACATTTAATGCAACGGTGCAATTCTTATGCCTGTTTTTTGGCGAGCGTATCATCTCTAAAGGATTATGGCCCCACGTTCTCCCGACTTAACGTTTCTAGATTATTATATTAAAAAATTGTTAAACTATAAAATGTTATAAAATACATGCGTATGTTTATATTGATGTGTGAATTGGTCTTGGGAAAACAACTAATTTACAAAGCAGTGAACTCCACAAATTTGCAGACGTCTAGTGACAAGTTTTCATATCAGTGGTGTCTAGGGTTGTTGTCAGTAACACATGTGATGCTACCACATCGAAATTGCTTGAAATAATTCAACAAAACGCTATTTGTAGATATATTTATTTTGATGTGCGCGACTTTTCGTTCTCTCTTGTATATATAAAAATTATATACAGCGGCGGACAAAAGTCTACATTATAAGGTTTTCGTACAACGTAATAAGATAACAGAAAATTAGTATTACAGTGTGATTAGAGATACTTATTCACAAAAAAAAAAACAAAACACAAATCGTTCAACAGCTACATATTAAAAATTCAACAAATAATAGAAACATTAATAGGACAAAAGTTTACATAGTTTTTATTAGGTCCATGTAACGACAGTTTTTAAAACTTATTATTTCGTTGGCCTCCATGAGCTTTCTATAACAGCACGCAGGCATCGTGCTGCTAACTTAGTTGTCTCTTCTGCTGTTATTTCAGCCCAAGGTTCGAGTAATACAAATTTCAGTGATTTCGCATCTGTAATTTTGCATCTTACGTTACAAAATCTCCTAAACATGCTCGATTGGATTTAAATCCGAACTCTGAGGAGGTGTATTCAACCGCCTGTGTGCATAATGTAGCAACCAATGTTTGATAAGGTTTGCAGTATGCTTGGGGTCACTGTCTTGCTGGAACTGCCCTGATAGCTTCAAACTTTGTTCTAAAATAATTTTTTTTATACCGATCCATAATTCTATCAATGAATGCCGGCTTTCCTACACCAGATGCTGCTATTGCTCCTCAAACATTAACGGCGGAGGTAGTGCCATGCTTACTACAGTTGGTATCAAATTATCAACTTCATCGCCGTGTTTCGTTTCCTCCAAATTTTTGCTCGACCATCACTTCCAAAAGGTTGTATTTCGACTCGTCAGTAAACAAAACCTTGGACCAGAAATCCATTCCCTTGTCGACATGAGATTGAGGAAATTCTAGACAAAGACGACGATTCTTTTCTGCGGGGTGTCCTGCTGAAAAATCCATTATCGCATAGAACTCTTTGTACGGTTCTTGGATATAGAGACTTATTAGCTAACTCCAGGGCTTTTGCTCACCTCTTTCAATAGGGAGCTAATATCTCTTCTAGAAAGTCTTTTTGGCCGGCCTGTACAAACTTTGCTAGCGAATGAATCAGTCTCATCGTAATTTTTGACGATGGTCTGGACTGTTGCTCGGCTTAGATTTATAATTTTGGCAATTTCGCCGTAAAATTTCTTTTCTTTTCCATGTTTTATTAACAATTTTCTAATTTCAACAGAAATTTCTTTTCGCGATGACATTTTACAACCAGTTAGATAGAATAGTGACAAAACACAAACTAAATACTAATAACTAGATCCATAATCCCTACTGAATGACAAATACTTTATGCCTACTTGATTTCTTTAACTCAAGTTTTGTCGTGTGAGTTCTTGCCTTGTTTGTTGAATTTTCATAATGTTGTGATTCAGCGATTCACTGTAACACCAATTTTCTATTATCTTATTATGTTTTTTCAAAAACCTCATAATTCAATGCTTTATGTAGACTTTTGTCCGTCACTGTATAATTAAATCAAATTTGACAGTTTGACAGGTGAAGAGTGGCGCCATCTATTGAATGAGAGAAGTTTGTCAAGTTTTTCTTCCAGCTTAATCTAAAGACGATAATTTTTCTTCCACGACGATGATATATGTAAGTATTGTGGTAAAAATCTCAAACTATAATAGAACAAGTAAATTTTTATATATTTCACTTCTTCTTGTCAGTTATGTGCAACATAACCTCAATTTGCAATTTTTCTTTAAAATTCATCAAGATTCCAGCTTTTAAACGATGTACATCGTTATATTATAATTATTTCCATAGAAGTCGTTATTTAACGGTCTTGTTAAAAGTTTTTAAATTAAAAAAAATCAATTGATTGATAATCATTCGCCTATTTACAGGAACCCCCTATTATTAACACCCAGTATTATATTTCTTCATATCGACTGTCAATCATTTCAAACAATACGTTTTTAAAAGTGACAAAATCGAAATATCCCCTATAACTTTATCGAAAAAAAAAATTTACAAATTCATTCGTACATCTCACGATTTTATAGATGTAATTTAATACTTGGAATTGATTCGAAATTAAAAGTTATTGTTAAAATAAACGTCTTTTTTAGTTTTTTTTAGTTGTAAAAATCGTAAAGACGTTGTTAGGGGGGACAAAAAACGAGGAAACAAAAAGGACTGAAATCCATCCCTTTCTTTTCAAAGAGCACGAGGTATGGCTTACGGTCTTTCGAACTAATTACGTTACCATCCCGTTTCGAAATTACTTATCATTCATCTCCAAGAACCCGGGAGAGGCATCCCGATCTCAGGGATCCACCCCCTTTGAAAAACCGTCCATCCCCCCATCAACCCCAAAACTCACCCGACGTTGTCCCCCTTTTACTCCCTTGGGACTCTAAAAACAAGTAAAAGAGGGAGAAAGTTCTTTCGATTATATAAATATGTAATGAAGCTACGCACTTTTTTTACCCTATGAGGTTTTTTAAGGGTTGGGATTTAAATCTTACTTTTTTAATTTTTTGTTTAAGGAGCAAAAAAGAAACTAATTACTTAATTTTGTTCGTTTATATGGAGCGGGAAAAGGGAGGAAATTTGTAATGTAGAAAGGAAGAGGTTTTTCCACCCCCTTCTTCTTTCCTTCTTAAAGGATCGTTGCGATGGAGGGAATGTCGGGGTACAAAAGGGGGAAGGTTTCTAAATTAATTTGGTGCGCTAAACAATGGCCGCCCTGCTAATGGCCCCCCTTTTCGTCCGCCCTACGTCTTTACCCCTCTTCCAACTCCACCCTCTTCTACATAAAAATTCCCTTCTTAAAGACAATTTAGATTTTTATCAACGAAACAACAAAGAAATTAAAAAAAAATCGATACACAAAAATTAAATCGTTTTAAAGAAATTTTAAGGGTTGAAAAAAAAAACCTAATAAACCATAAGGTGAATGGAATGTAGGCCAAAAACTTCTGCATGCTTTTTTTTGGTAGAAATTCCTCGACATATGTCGCGGCGATGATTATCTATAGTGACGTGGTGCCCGTGGGCGCACGCCTTTGATGAAAAGAAACGGGGTGATGTTTAAGAAACGCTGGGGGCTCGACACGGTAAATGGGCGAAGAAGAGGTAAAAAGCTGGCAAATACACGCACACACACATATACAAAGCATGAGAACCTAACGGGTGTGGAACCGTAATTTTAGGTTTTTGGAAGTAATACGAGATTTTTGTACTGTTAAAATGTACCCGTTATAACATAAAAAATAAAAATATCTTATATGAAAAAACTTTTTTAAATTTTTAGTGAACTCTAATGACGAAGATTAATAAATTACAGGAGGGTGAAGTATATTATGGTTTCAAGACTTTTAATATCGCTTACAATTAGAAGGAATGAATGATTTTAGATTTGTATCTATAAAGAATTGACTAATTAGATTAAAATAAATACTAATCGGAAATGATACATTACTTGTTGAACAAAGAGGCCTAAAGGACTCAGATACGATAGTCGTTATCAAATTACCATAACAAGTTTCTGCCTTCACCGTGCTTCCGGTTCTGCTTGTGGATTGAGCCATTTTGTCGCATTCAGGGAATCATGGATACACACATGTACACAAACCTTTTTGAGAATATTTTAAGTCTTCACTAAGGGTCTTTTGGTTGAGAGTCAATACCAAATACCGCAATCATTGTACATACACTTCCTGCATACGATAAATTTTTCAAAAGCAAAACCATGCAATGATGAAGATTTCGCATTCTGTTATAATTTAATGTATGCAGAATTCATGCTACATATTTTGTGACATCACAATACAATATACAGCTAAAGAGTGTTAACGCAATATTATTTCTTTCCTGTATTATTGAATGTCACAGTGATGAAGACTATAGTCAATACTATGTAGTAGCCTCTTGTATAAATTAATAAAGTTTTAATATGATACAAGATTCTTGACTCGACTCGAGTTTACCAAAAATGTTAGCGTGCAGCTCTTGGTTCATATTCTGCTTGCACGATGACGAAACACTGTCTTATAGCTGAAGTTTAGTGTCAGCTGAAGAACATGAGAAATGGTCTAGAACACAAAGGGAAACTCAGTGGGGAACATAGATCTTGGACTGCATTATCGAAACGTTTCCAGCTTGCGAGTGTGTATAGTGTCTAGTAACATACAGAAATGTTTCTTTCAAGGCATATATGACTCTCTGAAGCAAATAACTGCCGTTCCTGCATTATATCGGCACTGGAATGCACCCATTCCAGTGACCAAATGAAGCCCGGTTCACATTATTCCAGTCCAGTATTCCAGCGAGTCAATCAAGTCCAGTGCTGGTCTGGATCATATCGTTCACATTATTCCAGTCTAGTAATCCAGCTAGTCAATCCGTCCAGTGGATTCTTAATCGATTCGTTCGATTCGCAATCCAGCACTGGACTGGCGGTCTACACTATTCCAGTGGCGTTAGAATGGGCGAACTGGAATGAAAAAGTAGATCGTCGATCCAGTCACTGGAGTGGATTGCTTACTGGAATGGGTACATTCCAGAGCCGGTTCACATTACTCCAGTAGCATTCCAGCGTAGGTTTCCAGCGCTGGACTGGAATGCTACTGGAACAATGTGAACCGGGCAAGTTCAGTGACTGGATTGAACGATCTACGTTTTCACTCGAGTTCGCCCATTCCAGTGCCACTGGAATAGTATAGACGGCCAATCCAGTGCTGGAACACACATTGTTGTGGTTCCTTAATTCCATAATGAAGTTTACTGAAAACCAAACTCTTCAGTTTGTTATAATTTTGCCACAGTATTTTCGCTTCGTTCACAAAATAATTAGTACACTGTGTTCGGACTGGATTGACTCGCTGGATTACTAGCCTGAAATTATGTGAATGATGTGATCCAGTCTAGCACTGGACTGGATTTACTCGCTGGATTACTCGATTACAATACTATGAACCAGGCACTGTGATAGAAAATGAAAAGAAATCTCACATTTAAAAGTCCAAGGAATGTTGAATAGGTGACAAATTGAGAGATTGATTTCTTATATAAATCTTTTTCTGGATCAACCTGAAGACCTATAACAGTAAATCCGAAGTTTCGGACCCACTATTATTTTTGTGATTTGTGATAACTTTAGAAACTTGAACAAGCCACAGCACCGAATGGCCCCAAAATTTAATTGTTAATGACGAAGATAGATACGAAGTTAACTGTATTCTACAATGGTTTCAATGCATTTTCCTATCAAAAAGCGTCCAATGTTATCGCATGGACTTTATTGTCAATATCTACAAAGACTTGATAAGTAAAAATTTCCGGAATTTTGCAGTTATTAAACAGTTACATATCTATACAGTCAATTTTACTTAAGATGAAATATACAAAAATATATTTCCATAGAAATACCTATCAGAGACCTGCAGCAAATGGTTCACGTGTCGAATCATATTAATCGATTCGCTTTTACTATGTTTCTTTCATTCGTCAATAGAAATGTGAATCATGTAGTGCCGTGCTCATTCAAAAGCAGCAAATGGTTTAAAACCATTCGCAAAAAAGACATTTAAAAAGTATAACGTATAGAAATTTAAAATTTTGCTAAAAAAGTGCAAAACTAGGTACAAAGCTGTCTAAAAATTGTCAAAAATGTTAATTGACTACTAATCGACATTTCACAGCCTACTGATTGAGAGTTTTTGATTTGAAATTAATAAAATAAACCAAACAAATTTGAAATAAAAGTACTTAACTAGTTTTGTAAATATCATTTACATTTTTTTTAAGTTCCGATTTCTTGAAAATGGGTTCTTCGAACAGGGTTTTTATGCGACTTCGTACACGACTTTTTTAACACTTTTTCTGCTTAACTTTGAATAATTTTAAATAACTACAGAAAATTTTGAAAAACTTTTTATCATTTTAGATAATATTGCACATGCTTAGACAAGTTTAAATAACTATAGACACATTTTGCGCTTTTAAACAATACAAGTTTATATAATTTCAGTAACATTTTAATCATTTTGTAAAATTTTGACAATTTTAGATATAAACAATTTATAGTAGAAACCACGAGAGCTGGTATGCTGGTACACTTAAAAATGGTATAAATCAAGATATGGACGTACGACTTAGATTATTTCACCACATAGTACCATAGTACATTTAAATGTAGGTTATGTTAGTAATGGAGGTTATATGTCAAAGATAGGAGAGGTTAACCACGGGGGTTAATTATTTAAAACGTTCACAAACATCACCATTGATTTTTTATTTAATGATTTTCCTTTCAAAGAAAATATTTTCGGCTTGTGAAAACACTAACAGATTCACGACAACGCTCACAAGACGTTTTGAGGTTAGGATTACGGTAGGTACATCCGTTAGAAGAACAGACGTACTTTTTCGACGTGGCTATTTGAATTGTACGGCAGACATATTAAACTAATGCTATCTCTTTCTAACACACATTGATCTCTAGTGGTTTGTGAATTTTAATTTACTACGTATGGCATTTGTAAGAGCGGAAAACGATGATTCACTGCCACCTCTAGTGGTTTCTACTATAGACAATTTTGTCCAAGTTTTGATAATATTATTCTTTTGGTCATTTTAGACGATTTTGAACAAGTTTCAACAATTTTAAACAAATTTTGTGCTTGTAAATAATTTTGTACAAGTTTACATCATTTCAGCAACATTTTCGTTGTTAGTGTTCTAGTGCAGAACTAGAACTAACACTAGACCGAGAACTAGAATCATTCGCGTTTAGTCGTCTTGAGAGACGTGCGGCTAAATCCGAATGGTTCTAGTTCTCGGTCTAGTGTTAGTTGCAGTTTTGCAGTAGAACTAACACAAGACCTAGAACTAGTTTTAATTGTTATTTAGCGTTAGATTGTGATATATTTTTATTGAACGAAAAGTAGCAGTAACACTAGATCTAGAACTAGAAAGATTCGGGTATAGCCGTG